ATTTTATCCATTTATGATCTAATATTATTCATGATACTACATGAATAGTTTGGATGTTTTAAATTTTATTAAAAGTACTATAGCACACTTTGAAGTAGTTTGCATTACTAACTGTTGATGTTGAATATTAGAATATTTCAAAGTTTTTGTATTGTGAAGATATTTTTGGTTCTCTATTATATTATTTAATGTGATGCTTTATATTTCTTATTTAAAAAGTGGTTTCAAGATACATATTATAATAATAAATTTTTTTAAAAAATACTGTTATTATATTTTAATTTTTAATTAGAAAGTCGTGGCTTAGCTTGTATAAATGTGGCCACATAGATATAGGCATAACTACCTTCACCAACATTTTTATAGTGTGGCTGAATGTTGAAAAACAAGCAACAAGTTTAAAGTGTTGCCTATAAAGAATGAAATGTGACACTTCAAAAGTGTTGTTTTAAAGCACAAAAGTGTGCCCGTAGATGGTATACAGAAGCGTTGTCATAGGTGAATGCAAAGGCAACGCTTCTTGTAATTCGTAGCCTTTTCCTCTTAAAAGTGTTGCCTTAGGGAAAAGGTTACGCTTGTTTAGGCCACCCCTTTAAAAGCGTTGTCATAGGTAAAAAAGTGTGGCCTTTAATCAAAGGCAACATTTATTTATAGTTTAGGCCACATTTTTCAACTGTGGTTGGAGGGAAAATTTGTTGTAGTGATCTCTTCATGAAGTGCAGGAGGGTTCTTATTCCTAGGAGCATTCTCAACAGGAGCTCCATCCCCAGGATGCGCTACTCTTCCACGACCTCTACCCCTAGCTCTTCCTCTACCCTTGCCTCGACCGCGACCTCTCGCTGTAGATTCCTCAGCTGGAGCATTGACGGGAGCTACGGACCTGACGCCGTTGAATCTGGTGTTAACCATCTGTGGACAAAAGAGTGAAGGGGGTTAGATACCAATTTGAATTGACAAATACCAATTGGAATCAAGTTATAGCACGAAAGGAGACAAGAGAAAACAGAAAGATTTCCTAAAGTTCTATAGCCTCTGGAAGGAAAGTACAGACATCTCCGTACTGTTTCGCAAGACTCTATTAGACTTGTTTTGATACATCGAGATTAACGAACCTAGGCTCTGATACCAACTTTGTCACGATCAAGACCGTCGTGATTTGCACCCACACTAATCTTCCGGTGGGAGAACCACTACTATAATCCAAACCAAGCAACTAAACCAAAACTAAAGAATTTAAGTTATGGAAGCAAGTTAAATAGCTAAAGACTGAAGTTCCCATAAACTTCCAAAAGATCTAACAACTAAACAATGTGGAAAAATACACCTAGAACCTGAAAGTGAATGTACCAAAACATCTAACAATGAACCAAAAGTCTAAACAAGAAGGGATACCACCCAAACTAATGAACTAATTAACTAACTAAAAAGTCTAAGTCGGAAATGTGGACATAGACAGAAAGAGAACTCATGGCAGCCTGGAAGAACTGGGTCATCCTTGAATTCGAATGACGATCACTGAACTTCAAAGCGAGGTCTGTCAATAGCCGCTTGAAGATGTCATGTACTCAACAAAGAAAGAGCAAGTACAACATCAGTACACAACCACAGTGTACTGGTAGGATCATGCGGCTATCTCACTAAGTGTAACATACATAAATCAATACAACAATAATCACATGTATATATCGAACAAATATAATATTATCAACATTTACGCAACTTCAGATTTCTTAATATAAACAATTATGACAAGTCATTGGTCCTCTCATGGAACCCAAACCCAAACAGTTAGCATACCGAAACGTGGTACCCGATCCCATGTTTATGCTGGAACGTGGCAACCGATCCCATAATTATGTCGAAACGTGGCAACCGATCCAAGTTAGTGTATCAAAATGCAACACCTGATCCATTCAACATGCCACATTCACAATCGCAACCACAAGTAAATTCTCATAATCATACAATCAAGTCATGATTCAATGGCATTCATCAATCATATATCCTCATTTACAACAAGTGTGATCAATAATGCAACATCCACCTACATATATGTATCACAATGAAGCAAGACAAACATACATCACACAATCATAGAATCACAACCATCACCTACCTCGAAACAAGCTTGAACCTAAGAAACTTGATTCTTCCCTTTTTGGATTCGTTCCGCTTGTTCTTGGTCTACAATCAATAATTATAACACGGAAATCAATAAACGATCACTAATTACCCGGATTACCAACAATTCTATCAACACTAGATCATACCCATGATCCCAAATACAAAAATTAGGGTTGTTTCCACCATAGATTCTAGACTAAAAACCCTCCCCCATCGATAATTACCCATTATATTACGTTCTACGGAACGAAAAATAGAGTTGGGGAGTTAAAATCTTAGCTTTAGCCTCAGTAATGGTGAAAAATCGTCAAGAAAAGACCTAGATTTGGGGTTTATTTACGACTTTAAGTCGCTTCTGGCCCGCCACAACGCTCCTCACCCCGCTACAGCTGCCCTGCCCTGGCGACCAAAATCACCGCCAAAGCGGATTGCACGAAATAGTGAGCTATTTTAATAATTCTAAGACCCCATTTCACAACACACCTTCAACCAACGACACTCAGAAACTACCCGCATACGCCAAGATCAGATTCGGGAGTTCTACTCACCCGAATTAATTCCATAAAGTCATACGAGTTCCTTAACGCGTTAGCTATTAACTCATGCAATCAAAATTATATTTAAACCACCCAATTGCTACCAGATTTCCCTAGACCTTACTGACTTCGATTTTGTCCAAATCTGGACTAGGTTGGGAAATCCCAAGTTACTACGAAAAAGTTTTTCGGCCCCAAATTTTTCCCTGTTGGCCTTTCTATGACAACGGAACCCGGTTGTTACATTGATTCTTTATATACAGATCCTTTAATATATAATTCAAGAAATATAGTGTATCTGTATTTGTAACATATTCATGCTTTTTTTTCTATTTTTTTTATGATTTCAGTTTTTTATACATTTGAAACATTTTGTCTATAGCAAGTCGACTTTTAACAAAATGTAATTCAATCAATATGATGATATTTTTGTGTATATATTTTAATGTGTGATCTTTTATTATGGATGTCATGTCTTTATATACTTTTCTTTTTTTTCTGTTTGAACTTGTAATTTTTTCTATAAATTTGATGTTACACCACCTAGACATTTTGTAGTATTTTTCTTTATACGTATCTTTTTTATAGCCAATTTGTTTTTGGATTATTAAAAAAAATTACGATTAGTAATTAAAATATATTAATTCTTCTGATATAATAAAAGGTTTATTTTTTTATGAAGTATTGAAAATATCAAGCATCCAACAACTGACACAAGATTTTCATGCTATATTTTGTGAAGAGTTATATTCTTATGTCAAACTTACATACAAAAGGACTTAGCTTTGAACTTAGCGATGAATTTATGTAGGCTCCACTGTGATTATATAAATTAACTTTTCTAATGCCAATTAGGGGACAAATGTGCAACGCACGTTCCAGGACTAGTTCATGAAATAGGAGGAAGAAAACTTTGAGGAATGAAACACACTTCATAAGAAGCTTAATTAATGTATTTGAATTTGACTCTCTTATAAAGTGAAAAAACCTACAAATAATAGTGGCAGAAATAGAAGTTTTGTTTACTAACAAAAAAGTATGTGTACTCATTAGCATGGGGATACACATGCTGCAACACATGTGTTTGAATATATTTATATATACCGTTACAATAACTTCACGCAACTTAGCAGGGAACACATATGAAACACGTGTGTCAAGGACTAGTAGGAATTAAAAGTGTACGAGACTTGCACTAGAAGGTAAAAAAATAGGAAATATAATTGATCCAAATTGATGTAATCATTTTTTTTTGCTGACGGTGTGAGGATTTTAATCGTTTAAGAAACTGTGAGAATCCATTTTGGTATAAGAAAGGGAATGGAAAAGAAAGGATTAATCCAAATCTATAAATTACTCTCATTGCTATAGCATACTACTAGCACATTGCACATCCAATAGCGGAATTATTGTAGAAGAGAGGCACAACTCTTGGACAAGGTATTTTCGGTGTCATCTCGTTAGCTTCTACATCCAATGCACTATTTTGTGGTGTTACTCTTCCCTCTCTCATTGCCCTCAAATCTTGCAACTTGAGTGATTCTCAATCGTTGAAACAAGATGTCGAAATCATCTGAATGTTCAAACATTCTCCTTACATTATTCACTATTTCGGAGCTAATGTCTCTTTTGAAGATAACGTCAATCTTTACAATTTATTGCTCGAGTATGCTTCTGGAGGCAGCCTTGCCGATCGTCTTCGAAATTACAATTCACTGTTGGAAGTTGAAGTTAGGAAACACACGAAGAATGTTCTTTTAGGGCTGAGTTGCATTCACAACAATGGAATTATTCACTGCGACATCAAACCTGGCAATATTCTCCTTGTGGGCAGGGACAAAACTACCAAGATCGCTGATTTTGGGCTTTTCGTGACATTAGAACAGGGCATGAACCAAAAACAGGGACTTATAAGGGGAACAGTAAGGTATATGGCACCATAATCCATGATTAACACTAAGTATACCCCACAAGTTGATATTTGAGCTCTTGGTTGCACTGTCTATGAGCTGATTACGAGGACACCACAGTGGGAAGACGCAGATGGTGATGATATGTTGAACAAAATCGAGTTTGCAGAACCAAAGTTTTAGAATTCAAAGTTGTCAAATGAGGCTCAAGATTTTCTGGAAATATGTCTTGTGAAGAATCCCATCATGCGTTGGACTGCGGACATGCTGTTGAACCATACTTTTATGTAGAATTCATCCAAAGTAGCCAACACAAGGAAGAAGAAAAGTGATTCAATGTTTATTCTACACAAACCAATCCAAAAAATCACATTCAAGATCGGCAATCATAAATTGTCTAGGCAATTGCTGGAGCCAAAGCCCCTTCTACACAAAACAATCTAGAAGATAACATTAAAGATCGACAATCATAAATTCATGAGGCAATTCCCAGATCTGAAGGAAGTAGATAATGAAAAATGAGGAAGGATACTGGATACTGACAATAGATAGCTACAAAATAAAAATCGATTTGTAAATTTATAGAGAAGTATGTATGGGCTTGATCCCTCTTTAGGATTTGTTTTGGGGTATGTAGGAAACATTTGACGAAGAAGATCTCACGTGCAGCCCCTTATTAGTTTAATAAAAAAATTGTATAGTTGATCAACATTCTTTATAAAGAAAGGCGAGTTGTTATATCTGTATTGAAAAGTTGATTTTGTTATTATGATTGAATTGCTACGTTAGAAATCTATGGTTTCCTTATTAATATGACTGATATGTTGTGCTTTACCATATTTTCTCCCTCTCTTTTGTCACCAATTTAAAAACAATGGTTTTCCCTCACCATTAACGTAGCTCCAACGTGAATTTTATGGACTCTAAATACGCATTCTACACATATAAAATGCTTCGAGGAAAAGCATGTCCAAATCTAGCCCTCAATTTTTTACTATGGTTGAAAAATTACCCTCAGGTTAGAGCTCCAGTAGAGATCAAGAGAAAAATAAGACTTTTTCCTCTGCAATGAAATCTGTTGGAATGTATGCGTCCACTATCAGTCAACGGACCAGCTCCTTGACTCAGCAAGAACAGTAACTGAAATAAAAGTGCAGAAAATAAATAGCTCAAAGTAAATCTGGCACAAGGATTTATGTGGAAACGCCCCTTGCTCAAAGGCATTGAAAACCACGACCTGTACTCACAGGATTTCAACCCAAACTCCATTTCACTCAAACAGAGCAATGATTCAGATTACAGACTCTTGTAAAACTAGGAATTTACCTCTAAATCCCTTCCCCCTCAATGTAGCAACTCTACTACAAAGAAAGAACTAAGCAATAACTCTATTGCCCACTAAACCACCCGACTCTAGATGATTTAGACTTCAACTAAGCAACAAGCTTGTTGCCCACTAAACCACCTAACTCTAGACGATATAGATTTCAACCAAGCAACAACAATGTTGCCCACTAAACCACCTAACTCTAGATGATTTAGACTTTAACTAAGCAACAACAATGTTTCCCACTAAATCAATCAACTCTAACTGATGTAGAATTTTTTCTTGAAACGAACAAAGATCTGATTCCTTTATAGCTTAGGAATAGATTTACAATTTAAGCACATAAGACACAGCTCAAAATACAACAAAGAAGCTTCAACACTCTATCAGGTCCCTTTATTAAGCATGAGCAGTGCTCTTCCTTGAAGATGGCCTTTTCTTTTTAAGCTTATGAATTTTCAAAAATTCATAACTTTGTTTGCCAAAATTTGGGTTTGTGTTTTGAGAAGAGACTTTTATCAAAATGGACACAAACCCTGGGATAAGGCCATTGGCTGAGAGCCTGTTGTTCTAAAAAGTTGTGCACCAACCACATTAGAGTTGGCAACTTTTTGACTGCTGTCTTTTCGTCCTTTTCACGTATGCAGTCTTTCTGGGACCAGGTCCCTTATTGTGTTCTTTGATGTTTTAGTTCTTGAAAAAAACTTGCTAGCTCTCTATTTTTTTGAATTAATAATGTTGTTTGTTTATTGTTGTATATATCGATTACCAACAAGGGTTTTGACCTGTTAAACAAACAATTTCGTCCGCCCTTTCTATTGGTGAAGTACGCTGCACATTTCACTAAACAACCTGACAAGACAACTATAAAGATAGCTTTACAGATGTACACCACTTTGAATCTAGACGAGAGCACTCTTCCAAGCACCATGTCCCTGCATATGAACATTTTCTTCAATGCACAATTTTTGTTTTTATACACCCAATAAGCCTTGCCTGAGGAAGAATATCCCACAAATACTCTTTCAACATCATTGAGATAAAACTTCTCAACATCATTATTTTGGTCACAAAACATGTAGTATTCACCACTTCGGCTTGAAAGTTCTTTAGAAGATTAAAAACCTGCTTATTTCACATGAAGGATGTTCTAATCTACTTCTCTTGAACACAAGCATCAAAAACTTTGTCATCCACAAATTTTATTTTGGGCAGATCACGTACTTGGTCCCTTGACACAAGTTTGTTCAGTAGAGAAGCCCTCACATAGCCAAGTCTCTTGAGTCATTGATCACTATTCTCACCTTGAGCACTAAGGCAAGTGAGACTTTTACTACTAGCAGTGTTCAAGTCAGCAATATACATGTTCTTGCATCTTTTTTTTGTCAAGATCATCACCCAAGAGACCAAATTTGTGACACACATTTATCTTATAAAAACTTATCTTCATTTCGTTCATCACAAATCTATGTAACAGTCGAAAGATTGTACTTCAATAATTGACATAGTAGACATCCTCAATAGTGTGTTCCATATACTTTGCAAACATGCCTACACTAAGAATAAACTTGTTCTTGCCATCGTTAAAAGAGGCACCTCCACCTTGAAGTGCCTTGAGAGAGAGAGAGGAAGTTTTTAGTTTTCCCAGTCAAGTGCTTTGAGCATCCACTATCAATGAACCAACACTAGCTGTGTCTACTTCCTCTCACCTACATACCAAATCACTTGTTAGCCTTGGGAACCCACTTTAGTCGGAGTTCCCAGTAAGCAGATAAATGAGTGATAAGAGAATTATTTGTCCAGTGAGGTAGACTGATTTTCTTCAACTTAGGACCAGAAGCAAGACTAGGTCCCTTCTTCTGCCTGTTTCTCTATTTGGAATAGTTTGAAGAACTTTCTTGAGTTCTCTTCCAAGTTGGACACTCCTTCTTCATATGACTATTTAGCCCGCAATGGAGGTACAAAAGATTGTCAGACACTAATGCATACTTGCTATGCAAATTATAAGGAGGACTTAGGTTCAAGCTTCCTAAACCCCTCCCATCATTTTGGGCTTGGCTCGTAAGATTGATGAGCAACTTCGAGGAAGTAGTCCATTTAAGAGATTTTTTCAGTTTTTCTTTGAGGCTGACCAAGTCCCTTTCTAACTGATCATTTATCTCCAATGCCATAGCCAGTTTCATCTCAGAAGTATTCAAGCTAGTTTCTAGCCCGAGTTGTAGACTACTAGCTTCACTCTTCCCTGTAGCACAATTATCGCTTAATTTCTCCCTGAGTTCTAGATTTTCAGATTCTAGAACCATTATTCATTCTTCCATTAAGGACATTTGAGAGACCAAGGCTACCTTTTCATCATGAAACATATCCAGACTGTTATTCAGGAAATCATTTTCAGTGGTCAACTCAGTGATTGAGTCAATCAAGACAGCTGCTAGGTTTCTAAATCGTTTAACAAAACAAATATGCAAGTTCTTTTTAAAGTCAGAAAGAGTTACCTCTTTTTCAACTTCTTCATCATCAGATTTTGCCATAAAGGCAAACATTTCAGCAAAGATAACAACATCATCTTTTACTACAAAAATGGAGGCATCTTCAGGATGTTCAGACTCTTTTGAGTCACTTGAGGTGTCTCCCCAGACTACAAGGGCTTTCTTCATAACATAGTACATAGCTGGTTTTCTTCTGCTCTTATCAGGAACCAGGTCCCTTCTCTTGTCTTTTTCTCCTCCAACCTTGACATAGTCTTTGTATTCAAGTTTATGCATGGGGAAATCTTTGATGAAATTCCCTAGTTTTCAACACTTGTGGCATAGGTCACTTGCATTAGCAGCCTTGTTGGAGTTCACTGTCTTCCTAAGGCCTCCATGTTTCCTTATCAATTTTTGAAATCTTCTAGTGAGATATGTCGTGTCTTCATCATCTTCAGAAGTAACACCAGAAGTCACTTTGAGAGCTAGTGACTTGTCCCTCTTTATTTCCTTCTTTCACATTTCTTGATTTCTGTTCGTCTCATGAATTTGAAGATTTCCAATCAAGGCGTACATTGTCACCACTTTCACATCATTTGCTTCACTGATAGCATCAACCTTATTGGCCCAAGACTTAGGAAGAATTCTGAGCATCATTCTGACTTGTTTATGATTTTCCTTTCTTCAGGTTTAGTGGAGTAGCCATTCTTCCACAATATTCTCTCTAGGTGTTAACCAGTTACAAAACCTAGGCTCTGGTACCAATTGTTAGAATGTGTGTGTCCACTATCAGTCAACAGACCAGGTCCCTTGGCTTAGAAAAAATAGTAATTGAAATAAAAGTGCGGATAATAAATAGCTCAAAGTAAATCAAGCACAAGGATTTTATGTGGAAACCCCCTTGCTCAAGGGCGGTGAAAACCATGACCTGTACTCACAGGATTTCAACCCAAGCTCCATTTCACTCAAACGGAGCAATGATTCAAATTATAGACTATTGTAACCTAGGAATTTACATGTAAATCCCTTCCCCCTCAATGTAGAAACTCTACTACAAAGAAAGAACTAAGCAATAACTCTATTGCCCACTAAACCACCCGACTCTAGATGATTTAGACTTCAACTAAGAAACAACTCTGTTGCCCACTAAACCACCTAAATCTATATGATTTAGACTTTAACTAAGCAACAACAATGTTGCCCACTAAACCACCTAACTCTAGATGATAGACTTCAACTAAGTTACAACAATGTTGCCCACTAAACCACCTAACTATAGATGATTTAGACTTCAACTAAGCAACAACAATGTTGCCCACTAAATCAATCAACTCTAACTGATTTAGACTTTTCTCTTGAAACAAACAAAGATCTAATTCATTTATAGC